CCTGTAATACATGAAACTGAGTGGGTCAGGCTTGGGAGCCTGGTGAGCACATAGGGTTTTCAACCCACAATAAATAAGTTATTTAATTTCATCAACCAACAATAAACCGATTACTCGTTCCTGTTATCCTCACTTTACGTCCCTAAACACCTATCATAAAGGACCTAGCCTAATGATCATCATCGGGATGGACACTACTGCTAAGGGGGTTCCTCAGCAATAAATGTCCTAAAGGCAACCATGAGGGGGATGGAGTACACCGGTGAACACATCGTTCACAAACACCTACAGGTTGCGAGTCTGCTAGCGTTCCACTGGACTGTCTAGAAGAGTCTGTGGTCGTCATCCATACTCCGCTAGATGACAGAATCAACAACAACAACATCGAGGCCTCTCATCATTTTATCACACATCGTCTATTACATCTACCCAGGTTTTACCCCAACATTTTTGTAGATATAAAATACATATACAGTTTAAATCATTTAAAACATGTATAAAAATCTTTCACCAGCATAGACAATAAGTATTCAGACAATATGCACACATAGCACGTACTTTATATTAAATACTCCATATCTATGTGTAAGATGAAAGTAACTATGCACTCACCTGGTAAGGTGGTGACTTGGTACTCGGACAACACTTCGTTATCTCAAAACAATTTTCCCTTGACAAAACCTAGTATCAATACTACTAGACTTTAGTCTAATATTCACCGAGACTAATTAATAGTCTAGCTATTATTACTATTATATAAGCGTTAAACAATACTCTTCACCCACTATGTACAGACAGGGGCCAGACATAAAACACCGGAGGACAGGACCATTTTGGCATATAACACTTCTGAAATCCAACAACCCTATGTAGCCCTTTAAACCAGATTCTCCGTACCGCGAGTGGTTAAAAAGATATTATAACGACACTTATATAACTCATAATAATAGCCCAAGTACTTATTATACGTTCCTAATAACGTTACTATAATTAAATAAAAGCTATATTAAAAATAGCGTAGGCATAGCTCACTTACAGCGAGTTTTATAGAAAATCGGGCTTCGCTTGGAGCAGCGTTTCTGAACCGAAAGACCCCTTTTCTCGGGACTTCGGGAGCCTCAGGGCTTCATTCGGATGCTAGGGGGTTTACCTAGGCTTAGGGGGGGTTAGGGGGCTTAGAGAGAGAAAGTAGTGAGAGAGAGAAGAGATTTTGGTGTGATTTTTCCGAGCAACCTCGCACCCCTTTTATAGGGTCCAACTCCTCGGAACGCTGGGCGTTTAGCAAGTCTACGCGGGGCGTAGCCTCGGATAAGATAAACAGATGGCGCGCTTCATATGGGGAGACGTGGCATCCTTCGGTCCACAGAAGAGAACGCAAGGCGTTCCGAACCTCGTACGCGAGGCGTAGGGAGAACGTTGGGCGTCTGAAACCCTACGTTGGGCGTACCCTTCGCACAGCCTTCGCAATTTGCATACTTGATTTCAAAAATTCATATCTTTCACGTACGGGCTCTGTTTTTGACATTCTTTATATCCACGCGTAGGCGGAGACGTACTCTACAACTTTCGTTTAGACTCCGTCGGCTAATTTTGACTTTATTTTTAAAGTTATATTTTTAACAGGGCGGGACATGAGTGGTCCGTTAAAAATTCATAACTTCTTCATCCGACGTCCGTTTTCATCTGTCTTTTTATCGTTACGCTACTATTAACGAGATCTTCGATTCTCATTTAGGTTGTGTCGGCTAAAAACCGCTCGATCTAATATTCGAACTTCGGGTTGTACACTGCTAAGCCGAAACTTCGAAAAATCATAACTTCCTCATACGAAGTCAGATTTGGGTGTTCTTTTATGGACGCTCTCGGTTTAACGTATTCTACTACTTTCGTTTAGATCGCTAAGGCTAAAAATTGCTCTATCGTAAATTCACTATTTACGTCTCCCGATGTCATGCCGGTTCCGTCGCGAAACTTCGACGGGTCATAACTTCGTCGTTATAACTCGGATTTCGGCGTTCTTTATATCCCCAGAATCCTTTTTTCGACCACTGCAACTTCATGTATTGATATCGGGTTTATTCAAAACTTTAGTTTTGACGCTTATTTTATTATATCTTTATAAACAAATAAATAAGCACATAATTCACATAATACTCAAATATTTCATTTTTATTACTTCAAAAAGTGTTACAATAGTTGACCTAGGGTATTACATCATCTACTACTGCTTAGCCCCGAAACACGAGCGTTACATAAGTCAAGTCAACTGTATGGTATTGTGGGGGAGAAAAGGCGCTACGACCAGACGACTTCACATTCAAACTCATCAAATCCAAATGGGAATTAATGAAAGGTGATATTATTAGTTTGGTTAAACATTTTGAAAGAACTAGTACTCTTGCAAAGGGTTGCAATTCATCTTTTATCACACTTATCCCTAAAGTGTTAAATTCGCTCTCTCTCTCTCTCTCTCTCTCTCTCTCTCTCTCTCAGTAATTATCGCCCAATTAGTCTCATTGGGTGTATATATAAAATTATTTGTGAAACTACTTTGTTGTCCGTTTAAAACAGGTGATCGGTAGTGTGGTGGATGAAATTTAGTCGGCATATATTGATGGGAGAAACATATTAGATGGACCGCTAATCATGAATGAAGTTTTTTCTTGGGCCAAGAAATCTAAAAAGACGGTTTTTTATTTAAAGTGGATTTCGAAAAGGCATTTGATTCTATCAATTGGAATTATTTAGACTCGATCATGGATCAGATGTGCTTTGGGCAGAACTGGAGGAGATGGATTGTTGGGTGTTTATCGTCTTCAATGGCATCAATATTAGTTAACGATTCACCAACAAATGAATTCCCGATCACGAAAGGTGTACATCAGGGGGATCCGCTCTCCCTATTTCTTTTCATTCTTGCCATGGAGGGATTAAATATCGCAATCAGAAGTTCTTGTGAAAAATCCTTGATCTAGTGAATCAACTTACCAAATAATTGCCCTCCTATGTCTCATATGTTCTATGCAGATGATGGAATATTCGCTAGTGAATGGGATTGTGAGAGTATTAAGAATCTTGCGATGATCCTTAAGTGTTTTCACATATCTTTGGGTCTAAAAGTTAACTTCTATAAATCAAAGCTCTTTGGTATCATAACATCATCCACCGAGTTGCATAACATGGCTCAAGTGTTGAGCTGCGTCGAAGGCACATTCCTATTTACTTACTTTGGGGTCCTGGTTGGGGCTGAAAAAACATTGGAAGCCTATTGTTGACAAGTTTAGAACCAAACTCTCATCATGGAAGGCTAAAACACTCTTGTTTGGTGGAAGAATCACGCTCATCAAATCCGTTTTGAATAGCCTACCAACGTATTATATGTCTTTATTTAAAATCCCCCAAGGCATCATTGACTCTCTTGAAAAAATTAGGCATAAATTTCTATGGGGGGGGGGGGGGGGACGGTGAATTGAAAAACAAGATCCATTGGGTTGAGTGGTCAAAGATATTGGCTCCAACAGCTAATGTTGGGCTTGGATTAGACACTTTAAAAGCATAAAATATGGCATTACTAATCAAATGATGGTGGCAACTGATGAATGAACATGAAAGTTTCTGGAAAGAAGTTATAATGAGCATACACAACTTGCACAACAAGCCTGCTCTGTATATTGCCAAGAAGTCCATAAGTGGTGTGTGGTGCAACATCTCCAAGGTTGTTAACTATCTCACATCGATTATTATCATCATCATTAACTATTCTCACTCATACCAGGATACGAAGTTAAAATCCTTTTTTAAGGATGTTTGGTGTGGGAACACTCTGTTTCATCTAAGATTCCCTCACTTATATTTATTAGAAATTGTTAAATTTTGTAATCTTGTTGATCGAATGTCCAATAGTGGTTTCTCTTGGAGATGGAAGCAGGAGCCTTCCAAACCAAATGAATTACATGAGTTACTTCGAATGTATAAAGATATTGGGGAACATGGTAGTTTGGGGACTTCATCATTTGGATTTCGATTCAGTATGACTAAAAACGGAGAATACAAGGTTAATCTCATGAGAAAGAAGATAGATTCTAAACTGATTCCTTACAAGGGACATAAAATTTGTTGGTCAAAATTGATCCCCTTAAAAGATAGATGTTTCGTTTGCAGAATTCTGTTGGTTGAATCGTTGGCAATTAGGGGAATACAAAACTCTCATCGATTGTGTTCATTATGCAATAAGGAATCATAATCGGTTAATCATCTTCTTGTCAATTGTGAATTTGCTAAAGTAGTACAAACCTAGATATTTAAATGGTGTGGACTACACAAGAGGAGGTTCTCAAATGTTCAAATGTCTTAGAACTCATTGATTTCGCTGCCTGTTGGGGTAATTGTCTTAAAAATAAATCGATCAGGAGCATGGTGTTTTTTTGCATTCTATGGAACATCTGGTTGGTCATGAATGATAAGATTTTCAAAAATATTACTGCATCTCCAACAAAAGTAGCCGGTAATATCATCTCTTTGTCATATACTTGGTGCAAGCACATGAGTCCTCATGGATGCGGTAGCTGGGCTGAATGGATCTGTTCGTCATTTGCTCATCCAAGTCTTATCACTTTGTGATTGATTTTATGTTTACTTTGTTGTACTTTTTATTTGGTCGCGATTTAGTTTCTTGCTAATCATTGATTTCATTTAATGATATTGGTAGCTTCTAAAAAAAATAAAGGCTTTTATAACAATCCTAAATATTATTAATTACTCATTTCGTTTCAAATTAATTGTCCATTTTTGACTTTTGAAGTCTTTTTTCTTCAATTTTGACCTTAAATATTTTTATTTGTGTTACTTGATAAAACTTATAATAATGAAAAGACATTTAAAATACAATTCATTCATATATTTTGCATCAAGTATTATTTATTAAAAATAAAAATATTTAAGATAAAAGTTGAAAATTTTGAGAGTGAGGTAGTATAATTTTGTTCATAGTCCTTTCCATACTCAAAAGTCCAAAACCTTCAACTCATTGCTTCGTTTTTTAACTTCGAATACGAGACACGTCCATCTCCCCACTCCCATAGATTATGTCTCGTTTAATCCAATATAGGTTATCCCTCTCAAGATTGCTGTAAGTTCTTTACTTTAATCTCATTTGTGTCTCTGTGAATCTATCGCCATTGTTTCCCTAAAAAAATCCACAATAAATCAAAACCCAAACATGAAACTTTGTCCTAAATTGAACGAGGGTTTCGTTTCAACGCATGAACAAGAAATCTCAATTTTTGTCGATCGAACGAATTACATAGTTCGATGGAGAGGGATTGTTCTGAGTTATCATTTAGTTTTCATGTATGATTCAACTAACATTTGTTCGTATTTCATTTGATTTGATTTTTGTTCTATAAAACCAAGCAATACATCAGGTTCAATCGGGCGAGGAAGATATCTATCGACAGAATCTAATAAAATTGATGAACCACTTAAAGTAGAGGAAGCTGAAACAGTAAATGTTCCACCTCCCCCTGCGGAGAAGGTAATCAATAATTTTGAACAGATTGTTGCTGAATTGGCTTCTTTAAACTTTCAGCGTTTCAGACATCTTCTTGTAGCATCAAATATGTGTGTTATTCTCAATTTTTCTCATCTCTTTTCGTAATCAGTTGCTTGTGCTTGGTGGAACTGGGTTTGTTGGCTCGCATATATGCAAAGAAGCATTACATCGTGGCTTATCTGTTGCTAGCCTTAGCAGGTTTATGCTTATTACTTGTAATTTATGTTTTGCATCATATCGATTCTAGTTGCATTATTTAATACCAATGATCCCAAATAACAACACTATTTGTATGATTGTAGTAGTTTTCTCCTATCTTATGCCTTTTTATCACATTAGATGTTAAGTTCCAAAGTTGGTTGTTTGTTCATCAATAGCTACACCAGAAATCATTAACTTAAGGTGATACAATCATTGCTCTTGCAAATGGTTACTATTCATTAATCATTAGTCAAAACCACATATGATCTTAACAAGAACCAATGAGAATCTTTACACTTTAGCAACAATAATCCATTTCTTCCATAAGATTCTAGAACCCCTTTGCTGAATCACACGATTTATGAAACCCCAATTTATAGAATCAAAATCATGAGCTGACATTTAACTCTTTTGGCCCAAGATATAAGCTCATCAACAACAAAGAGCCTATCTAATCTACCTTTCGCCTCTCTTCAACAAAAGCCATGTGGACATTGTTGATTAGTCTTTATGTGGTTATTTTTCTTTCACAGATCTGGCAAGTCATCTGTTCCAGAATCATGGGCTAACAAGGTGCAATGGCATCAAGGTATACATTACTGTTTCATTTGACTTAATCTGGACATAATGACTTAATGGGTTAAACCAAAAAAACTTGTCTTAATGTATTAAGAGTAAGACACCTGTTTGTCTTTTTTTTTCCTCCTAACTCTTCTAATGTTAAAATTGAAATTTTGGGTTTTTGAATGTAAGGGTAAAATGGTCATTTATTCTTATCCAGACGGTTTATTCAGTCTACAATAGATATAGACCCTTATGTATACAACACTTTATCAATACGCCATTACCCATTCAGTCACTTCAACCCTAAACCCTTAATTCTTAATTAGTCACTTATTTTTTATTTTTATGTGCATTAATTATTTATCTACTTATTTATTTATAGGGGACTTGCTGTCTGGTGACTCATGGAAGGAAGCCTTAACTGGAGTGACATCTGTTGTGTGTAGTCTCATATTTCTCTTTTTTTTTCTTTTTTTTTTTTAAGTTGTGAATCTTTAAGAGAGAATAAAGGATCGAGTTGATTAATAATTTATTTGCCTTTTTTTTATGTGGATTATGATACAGAGTTTAATCATCCACTAAAAAACTTACAGGTGTCATGTGTTGGTGGTTTTGGTTCTAACTCCTACATGTACAAGATCAATGGAACTGCAAACATCACAGCCATTAGAGCTGCAGCTGAAAAAGGTTTCATTTATTTCTCTACTTTTTTTTCTTGAAAAAAAATATAAGTTTTTAGAAATTAGGTTTTTTTTTACAGGGGTAAAAAGATTTGTATACATATCTGCTGCTGACACTGGAGTGATTAATTACTTTTTACAAGGATATTATGATGGAAAGGTAACTGTGGACCCCACACCACACCACATCATCTCATCTCATTTCCTTAATTTAAAGATTGCAAGTTTTTATAAAAAAAAAATTGATTTTATAAACCGATGATTTTGTTTAATATTTATGCAGAGAGCTGCTGAAACAGAGTTGCTTGTGAGATATCCATATGGACGTGAGTCTTCTCTCATTTTTTTTTTCTTTTTAGGGAAAAAATTGAAATACTCCCACCAATTTTTTTACCATTATTACTAATATTTATCATTTATTATTAGTAGTAAACTAGTAATTAACTTCTTGCATCTATCCATCTTTTACTTTTACATATATAATATAACGGATTGAAATTACATTATGCTGAAATATATATATATTTTTTTATATGATAACTGAACCAACGGATAACACATTGAAATGTTTTTTTTTTCTTTTTTTTTTTATTTGTGTAAGATAATGATAAATTTGAATATTTGTAATCAGATGTGATTCTGAGGCCTGGATTCATATATGGAAATCGTCGTGTTGGCAGTATGGAAGTGCCTCTGGGAGTCATTGGTTCCCCACTAGAAATGCTTCTCCAACATGCAAAGCCGCTGACTCAGATTCCACTTGTGGGTCCATTGTTGACGCCACCTGTCAACGTGACAGCTGTCGCCAAGGTGGCAGTTAGAGCAGCTATTGATCCTGTTTTTCCACCTGGCATAGTTGATGTCCATGGATTACAACGTTACAGCCAACAAAAGTAATACTTCAAAAGATTGAATACAATTCAGATCATTAGACAGCTCTGTAGTCTTTCCTTGATTCTTTTTTAATCTTTTCCAATAATATGTATGTATTTTTCAGAGTATATTTAAGCTCTTTTTTTTTTTTGTTATTGTTTTAATGCAATAAACATCTCAAGTTGTATGCGTATGCATGCTTAAAGAAATGAAGGTGGTAACATGCACTACTACTCTTTAGATATATAGAAGTTGTAGCGGATAATGACCATTTTATTAGCATATCCATATATATTTTCTGCACGCTTGTTTTAAAGGTAAGTAGGTGAATAACCATAAGTTATGAGCTGAATGGATAATGGTTTAATGTGGATAATGTATTGCATTGCATATATAAATAATTTCTTTTTTAGACTGAGTGCATTGTTTCAAACCCTTTGATTTTCATTCAAGCCAATTGTAGTTTCCGTCCGAATCATGGCTCTCTTTCGAATCAACATTTTGGATGTAGTTAGTTTTAGGGAATAGAGGCTGTTTGGTAGTTTCTTAATTGAAAATTAGGATTTTATCAGTCAATCTGTTTTCTAAGTTGAATTTTGACGATTATATTGATAAAAGTGAGGTATCACTGTATTTGTTGATAGATAAATATAGAAGGCCGGTATCATTCACAAATTTCAATATATACTGTCGAATGAAAACATATTATATGTCATCAAATTCATACGTAAGAAATGTACATAAAAATAAGCATTGAAATATAAAAAAACTGAAATTTATATTGACACAAACATAAAAATAAGCAAGTGAATTTTTTTTAATCAAATAATTAAAAACGTATTATGTATGATCTGACTCATATGTAGGAAGCATATATTAAAACAAACATGGAAACGTAAAGAAAATTATGTCAAAACGTAGACAAATTCGAATTTATATCGACACGTACATAAAGCAATACATTTACGTCGAAATATTGATCACCTCGAGAAAAATTAGATTATAAATGGAGAGAGTGAATGTGATATTTTATAAAGTTCAAATTCATGGTATGAAAATGACATTTTAAAAAGTAGATGGGTGGAAAATGGTATTTTACGAAGTCTTTTAAAAATAAAGGGTCTTTAAGTAAAAATTTAAAAAGTACATGGATGGAAACTGTCATTATTCAAAATAAATTTGAGAAGTTAAAGGCAGAAAGTGTCAATATTAAAAGTACAAGGGTTGCACTTGGTGGTGGATATTTCCACCGACATTGCAAATTTTTTAAAAGCATCTTAAACTTTTAGACTTGAGCGTGTATCTAAATAAAAAAGAGACGCCCTTCCCTCTTTTGCACTCGTGTGCACGCCTCCATCAAACACACATCCACATTCACTAGATCTTACCTTTTGGATTAGTGGAGTTTTGGTGGCTATAAGTTGAATCTTACATAATATAAAATGTATGTTGGTCTCATTTTGTTGTTGATAATGCTCCCATGTCAAAGATCGTAGTCATTATGGTTGCTTCAAGGTTTGGTGTTGTATTATGCAGTGGCAGATCGTAGTCATTATGGTTGCTTCAAGGTTTGGTGTTGTATTATGCAGTGGCGGAGCAGGTCTTTCAAGTGGGGTGTATGGCCCCACTTGATAGTGGCTCCCACCTTATTTTGTACTAAACAAACCTCCGAAAAATTCATTTTCTTACTAAAACCCCCTCCTTGGCACCCACTTATGCAGAAAATATCCTTATTGATATTTTTTTTGCTGAAAAAATCTCAAAAATACTTTACATTTTCAGAATTTTCCACTTTTATACATTTTTTTATGTGTAATGGACCCCGGTTAAGTTTTGTTCTGGATCCGCCATTGATATTATGTGAATAAAATATTGATTTTGCTTATACAATTAACACACAATAACATATGGAAAATGTTGTGATGTTGTTTTGGATCTACCAAGTTTTTTACTATTGTCAAACTTTTCCACTAAAGCGTTTCTACCTGGTTTACTTTTCAAGCTTAGTGCCAATTGACAGCTCATCTAGTCCCACCTTCTGCCTTGTCCCAAAATATTGATGGGTGTGCATAGGATTAAAAGTTCCTTGTTATTTATGTTTTTGGTCTCCACTTGAATATCACATATTTGGCTTGTTATTTGCTTCTACTACATCCCTTAACATCATATTGGTACTTTACATCTTCATCTTTCAAATCATATTGGTATTTATTGTTTGTGAACTGTAATAGCAAGTGTATATTTGGAATCAATGTAGTGTTGATCCCAATTGAAGTGTTTTCGGCGTTTTCTGATCACCATTTGATTTCAGGTATGTATTAACAAGGGTGGTACCAAATGGCAAAAAGATAATGTTAGGAAGAAGATAATTGATTTTTAAAGTTATAAATGAGGTAGTCTTTTGACTGTAGATCATGTTAGAAGGAAGTGGATTTCTTTCCGGTGAGTTCAATAGCTGAAACTGCAACTAAAGTTTATTGTGTCAAAAGTTTGATAGAATCATGGGGGCTTGACTTAAGGAATTCAATTGTTGTCAAAAGTTTGAAACTTGATATAAGTGAATGTACGTTTGTGTGTTTCTATGTTTAGCATGTAAATATATATTTCTTTCTAGTAATTGATTTTGATGGAATTTTATAATTTAGTGATATACTTAAATACAAAATATACAGAGTGGTAAAATAATAATTTTTATCATTCAACACAACAATTCAAAGGTTTCAAACAAACATATTTAAAAATCAAAGTCTTTAGAAATTCAGATCTTGTCAAATAGCCTTTAGATTTTTCTCAGATTTTCCATTAAACATGGCTGAAACAAGGTGATCTTACCGCTATCATAAAAGAAACGTGTTTTACCCATCTTTTATCATAAGTTGACCCCAAGTGTAATGCCTTATAAAGCGTTCTTCAACAATAATCAAGAATTTTTTCACTCCAATTGGTATATTAACTCTTAAAAAAATAAAACAAAAACACAAGAAATGAGAATCAAACACCAAAACGTTCAATATATAAGAATAACACGTTTATCATTAAGCCGTGGCATTTGTGGTAATCAAACACCAAAACGTCCAATATAATAAGAAGTTTACCACTAAGCCTGGGCATTTTGTGCTAATTTAAAAATAAAACCATGATATTTATATATATTTAGAAGTGAACATTAACTCAAATACATAATTCGAAAGGGACATGTAATAAAAACTAAAAAAGAATACCTATTTAGAGTGTAAATACATAAAATAAAAACTAAAAAAATACATATTTAGAAGTCAGATTACACATACTCAAAACTAAAAAATACATGTTTAGAAGAAAAAAAAATGCATATATAAACTACAAAATACATATTTTGAGTGAAAATATGTATTTGGAAGTGATATATATGAACAAAATATAAAATCACGTATTTATATATATTTGGAAGTGCAAACAAATTACGGGGTCGTTTGATAGTTGTTGATTGAGTTAGTGTTGACTGAGTTAGAACTTTTAACTGAGTCTACGTCTAATTGAAACCATATTCTTTGATTATATCTGGTGATCGATGAAAAATAACCATATTACCCATTGATGGAAAACTTTATATAGCACCAAAAATAACAATCAATTTTATTATTGGTTCTAGAAAAGGCAATGAACTTTGATCCAACTATAAAATTGACTGAAATACACAAAAAAAGCTAAAAATACACAAAAAACTGTTGAAATGTTTACCCTGCTTTCCTCACCACAACACCTTCGCCACCATTAATGGCGTCCATCAATGCATTCTCGATTCTATCAAACTCTCGTTATCTTCAATCTTATTCCCATTCGAATTAGTGACCAGAAACTTTACCACAAAATAATCTTCTTTTTCATCAAATTCCATTGTAGCCTTCTCAATTATAAGCCCTTTTAAAACCATAGTGATTATCAGGAGCAAACCCATTTTGTCTTGAGCTCGAATTATGAAAATAATATCGTATGTTGCATCTTTTTCGACTATTACACAAGTATTGGAACCTCGATTTGTCAATTTGCAAATATTTGTAAACACTTTCTTGAGTGCATTCTTTCGAAGTGGAAGTGGTTTGAGTCACGTTAAACACGAAAACATGGTCGGAGGAAGATGATTTTCGCACCTGAGTCGGAGGAAGGGTCGTCGGAGGTTGTGGAGTCGGTGTGGAAGAAACGATTAGGACATATTGGGAATACTCGATTTTTGCCCAAATTTGTCCCGATCCTTCAATGTTGCATAAGGTACCGAATCAACAAAGATTCATGGACTTAGTCCACCTTTGGACCCAATTAGAAGCCAAATCAAACTCACCATAAGTAGGCATGTATATGTATTTATGAGTAACGAAACATATAAATACATACTTTTATATATATATATATATATATATATATATATATATATATATATATATATATATAGTCAGTTAAAACACACAATACATAAAACGAATAGCGCTTCTGTTAACAAAAGGCACGATGGCCTAGTAGTAAACTCGCTAACCTCCTATTCCAAAGGTTGTGAGTTTGAATGTCTAGTGTCCCTCTCTTTGCTTAAAAAAGATAGGACTTTTGGCAAACTGCGGCCTAAAACTTATGGTTTTTATAAGATTAGACCAAAATTATAAAATAAAAAGAACTAGATATAATGAAATCTTGAAATATAATTATACATAAAAAAATAAAAAATATATTTAAAATTTTTTAAATTTTTTGAAAAGATTAATACTATTGAAAACTATATGAATAAAAGTAATTTATAAATACAAAGACATATCATTCCATTTCGATGAGGAAAAAAGCACTCATCCCCCAGGAATAACTCAGCCAAAAAGAAGGAATCACTTTTATTCCTTATGACAACAAAATAAGACTTTTTTCATTCCGAGATAATGCTCCATTCCGTTACATTTCTAATTAGTGTATACCAAATGCTACCATAGTAGAACTACTACCATGTTAATCTCTGCAAATAGTTGAGAAATAATCGTCTCCACCCCCAAATAGAAAAGGCCCATTAGAGCAACCTAGGTTGGTAAGAGGTCCATATGATGGGTTATTAGGAAATTCAAAATAGCACACACTCCGTAAGGGGGAAAGACACATTAGGTATTTTGTAA